TTCAATATATCATACTTATCAGTCCGAGCAGCGTTTATTTATTTATAAACTAACACTTCATTGATTTCATTCTCTTTGAAAAGCTATAAGGATAATTTGTAATTAAAATAAAATGTGTTTTATAATATTCTATGTACTAGAATGACATCATACTTTACAGAAATAAATATTTAGATATTTTATAAGTATACTGATCCCCAACAAGTAGTGAGTTAAAGGAAATTTTCCACCAGAGGGCATAGCACGTATGCCTGAATGGATCCCACTATTTTCAGCATTAAATTGTTACAAGTACACATAAAGCACAATAATTGAGCATTAATATATTACAGTGGTTCTCAGTTATTCAGACAGTCAGTTGACAATACAGTTTATTGACAAACCTTCAGATCATTTCATTATCATACAAGACAAGGGGCAAAGTGTTTTTTTTTTTAAAAAGATACAAAGATGCAAGTTAGGCGACTTCAAACCAGCTACTTACAATACTTTGAAAGTATGCAATATTTTATTGTATGTATTCCACAAGTTGCAGAAGTGCAGTATCTAGAGACTGGAATCAAATCTACTCGGTAGTACATTATACATCATGTAGACCATACCTATGAAATAGTGAGCTGTAGACAGCATGCCTGCCAATCAAATTGTGCTATCAAGTCTACCATGGCTTATGCTGAAGTTTTTTGAAAAGTTGCTAGCCATCTTGCAAACTGGCAGCCCGAATATAACCATCACAACTGCTACAATTCTTCATATCATGGCAGAACAGTATCTATTACACAGCTAATATACTGATACTCACCATATCAGCTTTACGCAGTTCTGCTCTGTAAACCTTAAGTTTATATGCGACATAGCGATAATTAGCAGATGCTCTGTTGAAAAATGTAATAACCGCATCAAGACTTCGTAAAAATATCATCAAGCCAACAGTAATTGTATTACAGAATTTATCCCAGAGAGTATCTAAAGAGAGAAACAACAATAAACAAGTATCAGTACAGAAAAACTGTTGCACCCCTAATAGTAATAGTAATAGTATAGCTTGCTCCCACTTCATCTACAATCATGCATAAATGAAACTTTCAAAGCTTATGTAGTAGTACAGATATTAAAACACAACTATATGTATTTGAGAGAAATTATTAATTATTTATTTATTGATACCACATTTGCTCTATATACAAGCGCATCTCCAATAGAAGTGCTATAAACCATTAAAATATTATATATTTTGACTTTAGAATCACTTCGGTAATTTACATAAGTGCATGCACTAAGAACAAATATGGTACATGTAATTCACTGCAATATTATAATGCAAATTGGATAGAAACAACACATGTACACAGAACAAAGCAATGTACAATCCTATGCCTATGTCATAAAACCTGCCATGTATTTTGGCAGTATGTTCTTGTCCACTGCTGAATACAGCTAGTCAAACAATCCGTTGCTAAGTTACTTGTTAAATCTGCAACATCTATCTTACCAGTATGCTGCTCTTTAGGCTGCTCAGTTTCATCATTTTCTTCTTCCTCATCTTCTTCTTCTAAAAGAGCTTCTTTCATTTCGGATTTTGAAGGCCCTGCACCATCGGTGGTGTCGCCTTCCTCTGGAGTTTGTGGGATGGAAGATGTGGGAAATGATTTGGGTGATTTGGGTGATTTGGGAGAAGATGGGGAAGATGGACTCCCAGGAGTTGATATGGTAAATGGTTCTGTAAAAACAGGAAAGTCATCATGTCTGAAATAATCTATATGTACATGCATTATGAAAACATTAATTACATAGAATATATGAAACAAGATGAAAGTATGGGAAAAGGAAAAAAGATAAGAGCAGAATAAAAATGGAAGAATATACTAAAAGTCATAATAGAAAGATTCATGCAAACATAGCTATAGAGCAATAATATACCAAAATTTCTATGGGAAAATAAATGTAACCTCTAGAGAGATATATAATGTATACTAAATAAAATGTATGTAAGAGCATAAGCAATCTGCGCATGGGTGTTATTGTGTGTAACCTGTGCATAATAATGACCCTGTGACATCGCAGAGAGTTGAACTTTAAATACTCAGTTGGTCTACAACATGATTCTCTTTGTTAAGCCAAGCCTTTCTATGGTCTATGAATATTTTATTGTCGTCAACTAATGAAACTATTTCTAAGAATGCATATAAAATTTATTATCATTATTTTTACGTTCCATTGACACACCTTGGCCCCTTGACTGATTATTTATTTATTTCATTAAATTGCCAAATGTGCTTTGAAACAAAAACACTCAACAGAGAAAACAGACTATTAAATAATTACTTGTTATTGTTTTGTTTTTTAATTTGAAACTCTGCCAATCCAACACTTGCACAGGCACACTCATTGCTTCAATAGAAGTTCATAAAAACATGGTTACATGGTATAGTAATCATTAAAATTCAGTATCGTCAAAGTCATCTGTGATTGAATATCAGATGTCATGTTTTGTAGAAATTGTCACTGGTATGTTGTGTTGTAATCTCCAGTAGGAATTACCTGGAGATGTAAGGTTATCTTTCAGATAAATAGGTTATTAAATACAAGAGACTTCATATGAAAGTATGGTAAACAAAAATATGATAAATAATTAAAACTGAAAGTTTCCCAAATAAATATTATACCGTAATATAGAAATAGAGCTAGAAAATAAATACATTAAAATGATAGGTACAAGTTGATGTGGGGAAAGTGGAGAATCCATAAAACAGGACGGGTGAAATCTTGGGACACTATTCATCTGTTCTTAGAACACAGTGAATGTGCAACTTGTATGCAACATATAGATATCTCTTAGCAGAATTGCTAATAATCACGATCATAACATGTGTGGTTAGAGAAGTGACAGGTATGAGTAACAACAATTATTTTAAATAATGACCAATAATGTCTTGTAATCACGTGGCATGGGAAGAGACTACCCAGTTTCAAAAATTCAACCATGAGATGACTCATATTGAACATACCCTCATCTTCAGTCGTTGGCAATCCAGCTACAGTTCTGCGTCTCATTTTACCATCACTTTCATCAACTTGAGATAGCGATCTCTTTATCGCTCTCTCTTTCTTAATAGTTTTCTTGGTTCCCTCAGTTATAGCAGAATATGCCAACTATATAGTAAAAAATAAAATAATATAATGAATGAACAAGAAGATAAGTGTAATTAGACACTTTATGAGGTACAGCCATGCACTATCTAATTACACAATGTGACATATATTTCAGTATTACATTCAGTTCACATTAATTTAACACACTGTCTATTGACACCATTTATTTTGGCTATTCATGGAGGCTTTCAGCAGGTGATGTGTCACTCATACACAGTCAATCACTAATATTTGTGCATTATTTTACTATTACTGATTACCTCTATGGGACCAGCTTTCTTTGGTGTTTTACTATCTCCATCTTCGTCCTCAGAAGAATCATAATCGCTCATATCCTCATCACTCTCATCTTCCCAGAGATACTTATCACCACCTCTGATTGCTGAGTGAATACAAAGAACACAAGACTTGGTCAATTATTTTAATATTTGTTGTTCACATTTTAGTACACCAAGTAGAAAGACAAAATAAAGAATTGATCAGCATCATGATAACACTCAAAATAGATCTCAGTAAAAACCATTGAATTTCATATTTTGAGAGTAATAAACAATGATCACATAGTAGAACTGCACATAATAAATAGAAAATGTATTATATGTATAAAAACTTCCAATACAGAAAAATTGAGTAATTAAAAATTCATGTAAAAGTTCGTTATCATAAAATACTCAATTATTAAAGCAGCATTGTGTTTATGAAAAAGCAAGGAGAGAAACGTATTGTATTTCATGATGAAATGAAGAAAAAAAAAGGAAAGCGAAAAGCACCTAACAAGAATTTACTTACTTTTCTTTCTTCTTCCCCCGAGGAAGAATTCGCTTTCTTCTATTATAAAATACCACCACCAACAATTTACAGTCTGATTTGATGTGTTTTAATGTTTTTACATGCAATGTGTTTTAGTATTGTGATTTCCAGGAAAGAGAAGGGATAGAATGGGAATAGCGATGTACTAGTGGTAAACTGGACTCAATGAAGTGTCTCAGAATTTCAAATATGATCTGATCACATAACACACTTTACTGGTTCTTTGAGAAAATGTGTTTAACAATCACATCCCACAGCTAGTTAATAACAAATTCTGTTAGTTTAAAATAAAAAAAAATATTTTGTAACTTTTACTAAAAATGCTTGACCCTGTCACTGAACCAGTTCACCAAAAAGGGTGTGAAACTAAATGCTGCATGAAGTATTTGAATAAAGCTGACAGAAATGCACAGTAAAAAGAAATCACAGGAAATAAAAAAGAAAGACACGTTGAGATGAATGTCTGATGTATGAATTCATGACATACTTGAATACAAATAAGAAATAAATAACATAGAATAGTGAAGAAACAATATTGCATACAGCATTTTCCTTGAAGAACTGATGTACAAACATAGTTGAACTCTGGTAACCTTGCCCTTTGTTATATAATATAATTCCCTTTATCATAGTTTGTTTCAATATAAATATGCATTGTCATAATTAATTTTGAATACAAACAAGTTTTGGGGTTGAAACAGCTGTGGAAAAGCATTCTACCAAACATCCTTGATTGATGTAAATATCTTACAAAAACATTGGTGCCTAAAAAACACGTTACAAGCTCTGCTTTGTATGCAAATCAACTAATTAGTTAGTTAGCGTCCAGTGGAAAGAGAAGTCAACAGTACTTTTGCCTCCTGAGAATCTACATCTTCAAACACTGCGTTTTGTAGTTAGTTTTATAAAAGCTCTATAATTCTGTTCTAATAGCTGAAACAAATTTCTGTGAATTTTGATTTATATACTTCAACAAAAAAATGTTTTGTCGAATGAACTGTTTGTCAAATACAGAATACATAATTTTGAGTACAATTTTCCTTTCAAAATGTGGATGCAAAGTTTTACTTTTTATGTATTTTTGGATTGTTTTTGTTTTGATAACTTTGACTACTAAACAGATTGTCTATTGATTTCAGATTTTGATCAAACGTTTGGCACCCAATTCATAGAAGTGCTTATATCGATTATCTGATATCTTGTTTTCTGTTAAAATTTTATTGGTAGTTTTGCAAATGTGTATCTGACTGTGTAACAAATCTCTCCATGAGTTGGCATTAAAACCCAGTCTAGTATTACAAAATAAATGAACACATACAACAATGCATATTCCCAGTGAAAGTGTATCACCAGTGATCAGTCAAGTAGAAACTGTCAAATATTTTATCAGATTTTCTTAATTTTTGCATGATATTTTCACACAGGACAATTGTGGTTCATACTTAGAGAAGATTTTATACTGATGAATTAGGTGACCAAGTTTGAACAAATTTGGAATAGAAATAGAAATTGTGCACACAATAAGAATTATTAATGATGACACCGACAACAACGACAACAGACAATTTTCCCTTAATATACCTTTCCCTTCCATCTTTGATGATATGGGCAAGGTAAAAATGTTTTCTTTGCAAAGAATATACAATAGCACAGAAGAAAAGGCGTAATAGAATATTTAAAAGTGTTTTGAGTGTAAGTGTGAGTGATTATAAATATTGTGTAGATAAAGTATTGGGCTCCTATCCACCATAAATACACTAATTTAGGCATTAGGGAAGAGTGTCACAAACTGTTGAAAGCTTACAGTCAACATAAAAAATATTGGCATTTCCACATGATAACTCAGCAATCTTATTATGCATTGGTTTTAATTCTGTTGGTATAACAAAAGTAAAGTCTAAAAGAATGCATGAATGCATTGTTTTAGTAGCAAATGATCACGATAGTGTAATGGTCATGCTCAAGTCAATAAGTTACTTGTTTTTGAGGTGTTGCAAATGCTGATTATTACTCAATTGTGATTATAATAATGTACAAAAATCTATTTGTTGGTTTGTTATGAAAGGCAAGTAAAATTCAACTTTCACCGTGGGCGAATGTTTTTGGTTGCTCGATGTGATACATTATCTACCATGTTTTTTCCCATACTTGACCTGAAACTGTGTCATACTATTAACCACTCAGAATACTGGATGGTGTCAGACAAGATGTTCAAAAATTATGCCTATATTAGAGTATTTACTGTATTATTAGTGTGTGTGTAATATAGATACTGACTTGTTCAGCCACACATTAACTTACCGTCATGCAATGTTACAGTATTAGTCAAATTATTATATTATTGGTACATATTAATCTGTATACTCACATGCACACCAGCAAGCACCTGGGTGCTAATCTAGTCCATACCAATTAGTTTCTAATTTATGAATTAGCAGCAAAACACAAAATAAAAACAACAGACATACCTGCAAAATGTTCTGTAAATTCCATGCCATCTTTGCCTCTTAACTTAGCTTGCTTTTTTTTCACTCTCTCAATTCTGTGAACAGATAATGAAAAGACTGATAAAGTGATAATGCATATTAAAAAGAATATATTCTCAATAAGTCATTGTAAACACATCAACCCAAAAGAATGTGATACACATACTACAGAAACCACTAAAACTGTATTTTCTACCATTGAGTCACCCTGCTGAGTAACTGCCAGGCCTGATAAATTGGTTGCTGCAGCAAAAAACAAGTCATTACCAATGACATAGTCCCCATCATGTTTTTAGTGACTTTGTCAAACAATGAAAAACTTAGTCTGATTATGTTTAAATATTGGAATAGTATTTAGTATATTAACTACAAATGTGCATGAAACAGGTATAACGATTAAGTTTGAATGAAATTGGTCAAGGCATGCCCCAGACTGTTAATGACATGTCCAATTGTTGATTTTTAGGACAATTAATGGCTGACAGTTGAAGGTCAACAAAATAAAACAAAGTGATATTCACATGTATCATGACTTGTAATGTACCAACTTTGAAAACAACAACATTTAACCCATGATATCTTGGCTTTGTGCTAAATTTAAACCCAATCTGTAAAATCATCTCTGTAAAATGGGCAGAACACTCATAAAAAAAAAAAAAAATGGCCACCAGTCGGCTATTTTGAATTGAATCACGCAAAAAAAAAATGAAGTGCATCAGTAACCCACTATGACTAATGTCAATGCCAAGTTTGATTGAAATCAGTGAAGGCATGTTGATGAAATGTTTGAATTTTGTGATTTATTTTGTTTTTGACGAAAATGGCTGCCATTTGGCTAAATTTTGATAAAAACGAAAAATAACTGAACACAACATTCAACCCTTTATATCAAATTTAACACAAATCTGGACAATCATCTCTGTAAAATAAGCAGAACACTTGTAAAAAACAAAATGCCCACCAGTCCGCCATTTTGAATTGAATCACGTGTGTCAGTAACCCACCATGACTGATGTCAATGTCAAGTTTGAATGAAATTGGTCAAGGCATGTCCAAGAAACGGTTGATGACACGTCCAAATGTTGATTTTTGGCCACCACTGAGTTAAAGGTCAACAAATTAAAAATAAATCAATGTGCACACGCCTCCCATTATGGCTTCTCTTTGTACTAACTTTGAAAAATCTGTCCAGGCATCTCTGAGAAATGACGAACGAACGGCTCCCAAAACATAACTCCCTGTGTCAGACTACGAACCTGGATCATTTTGGTTCATTTAAATATATGAACAGGGGCTAAAAACTTATGTGCATCAATAACACACCATGTTTCATGTTCATACAAAGTATGAAGCAGGAAGTAATCTTACTTACTTGCGTCTAATTTTTCTCAGTGTTGCCTCTTCCTGTGATTTTCTAGTCTTCACTTCATATGCAAGTTGCTGATTAATTAGAACTGCTCCCCTGTAAAACAGAAAATCAAAACAAAGACATCAATCAAGACCAGCCTTGTAGCTACAGCATTTTTGTTCTCATTTCACTCACACATTATACTGACAATAATGTCTCTATTGAGATTGCTACATGTATCATTTTTTTCAATACAAGTGCATGTGTATATACTGCAATTTAGACACACCTTGCTGCCATGGTATTTTGTTCTTTCACTTCTTCCACAATATACTGGAAATAATGACATGTGAATATCCTTTTCTGTAGAAGTAGAAAGGCAAACAGTACTCCATCCCAACTCATACCAGCTTGATCCACAGGAACTTCACAATCAGGACTGTCATAAACATCTAACAGATACAAAATAATACAGCACACACAGAACATAACAGATTTGTGTAATATTTTGCATTGGTTCGAAGCCTTTGAGAAATATTAAAGTACCTGGTAAATATGCATGGATTTTATCACCAAACTAATCAGTATAAACTAATTGTAGAAAAAAGATTAAAGATTCTATAAACTAAAGCTTTGCCTTATGACATGACATATATGTGACTTACATATAACTGATGAGCAAATCCAACAACGGAATAACAATAAGTAGAAGTAATACAAAATAATAAGAGTTAATTGAATAAAACAAAGTGGAGCTATATCAGTGATGAAAATATATTCTATGAGTGAATTTGAATGTGCTACAGTCGTCGCATCAGGTGATGTTCGATATGGGACCCATAGAGACATATTATCAGAGCTACATCACAGAACGTTCTGTGTTGCTAAGACGCACAACAGTGTACAATGTATTTCTATGGGCTCTGCATGAGCTGCTGTGGAACACCAGTTGAAGAGCAGATAAAAACGACTGTTTTATTACAGTAAAATCTGTATTAGAAGCTGCAACAGATGTAGAATGCAACAGAGGGGAAGTGACTTCTATTAGAGCATTTACACATATGACAAAATGGTGATTGTTTGGTATTCAATTGAATGGGTGCGGCTTCTATAAGGGATGCAGCTTCTAATACAGATTATAACAGTACGGTTCTAATACAGCTTATTAGGGTAATTACGAGATTCATTCATCCAGAGGTTAGAATTTTTGTATAATATATTATATTCCTAAAAAAAAGTAATATAACGAGCCATGCATGGCACAGTCCCTGTTAGTTATCAAATCTAAATTATATAGTTTTGTTTATAGTAATATAGTACAAGTACTTGTCCATATTGAGAGATATTGCACTGAAACAGCATTAATTGAAACAAAATGGCTACCGGTCTGCCATTTTGAATCAAGTCGTCAAAACCAATACATCTGTATATCTATGACATGATGTAAAATGAATAGATAAAATTTGAACATCAGTCAAAGATGTCAGCGATATGGCTCTAGAATCGCATTCAATAAAACTGGCATAGCCGGCAGTCGGCCATTTTGAATCTTATCTGAAAAACAAAATGACGTGCATCATAGTCCCATAATGTCAAATGCATGTACCAAGTTTGAACATAATCCATCTGTAACAGCCAAGAAATGCTTGATTTTGATGATTTTCATTACAAAAATGGCTGCCATTCGGCCATTTTGAATCAGATCATGAAACAAATTGATGTACATATGTATGATAATATGTATGATGTATGTGTAAAGTTTGAATGAAATCGGTGTGTCTAAGATACAGGTTCGAGAGCATACACGGACGCACAGAGGTCAATCCACAAGGCGCTGTTTTCAGACTGCGTTTGAGCAGGGACTAAATATATGAGGATGACATGCAAATTAGGATAATTTCATTTCAGATTCGATGCACATTCAAAGGCATGCCATAATGCAAAAATAACTGCAGATCAGTCTTCCAAATGATTTTCTATTCAAAGTGTTCCACAACTTGTCTATCTATACAAATTACACAAATGGCTCCAAGCAATCAATGTAATTACTTACCTGGTTTATAGCCTTCATGAAGACATACTAGACTCAATAATTGGATCAACCAACATAGGTTTGAATAGAACCTCTCTATATACACACAGGCAACCACTTGGAGACATGCTTTGACAAAAATCACAGCAACGTTATACATCATAATCACATTCCATCTGTATAAATATGAATAAATTCAAGTAAGATTACAACATATGAATATGGACAAGTGGTGTTTCATTCTAAAATGGCTGTGGAAGGGCATATAAGGTATTATTTATAATACATCTGACATCAAAAATAATAGATTTCATACGCCTGTAAAATAACAGTACGCACATGTTCAAAAGTGTTACACATGCATTTGAATAACATCCTTGTGTGTCACATTTATGTCACATTTGAACATTTGCTTTTGTTTACATCGGGTGCAGTGTGTGACAAAAATAGAATCTTGTCACTGAATGCTAATGTTTGCATATCGCAAAAAGTTTCTCTCAGTAAATTATTTCTACAATCAGGTAAAAAAAAGTAATAAGGTTATCATGAGAACATCGCAAAGTATGCATTCAGGCAGTATGAGAATGCATCTTCCTTTGCAACTCGCAGGTTGATACTACCTTCGTACATACCTTGCTGTATTTCACTATACTTTAGGTTAAAAACAGGTGAACAGTTACAAGGTTCCTACCCCCCGTAATGCAAACATGCGATACTTGTCTAATAATTAAATGAAACATATAGTGGCAAACAAACACATGATGTAAATGCACACTATAGAATGATAATAGGCAATAATACAGATTAATTTTTTGCAAAACAACTTACGCTTTGAGTAATGTTGGTCTTGGTTTGAGGAGATAGTCTTGTCCATACCACATAAAAAAGAAGCACAGTCCGAGATAGCCGAGACAGAATATGCTTACCAATGATGTACCCGCTAAGAAGACCATAGCTAAAGTTACCCACAGTGTGTAATTAAACAAACCATTCTTGATTAAATCCAAGAAAGTCCTGAAATTATAAACACAATTATGAGGTTTGAATGAAATGAAAAATGCCAATTAGATACAGTATACACCATGCAAACTGTGTTATGTTGAAATCTTACTTGTTGTTCATAAAGTTTGGCACTGGATTGTCTTCTACAGGATATTCCCTATCAACCATTTCATTATCACCACCTCCATACTGATCACCAATCTTCTTTTCCACACGAAACACTTGCCATTGCAAACAGACAAATAGCAGTTGGAAGAAGTCAGCTGTCAAAATAAAAACAAACTTTTTATTTCACTGGAGAAAACTAGGCAAAATTTATTCTGTACACAGAATTAGACTGAATGTCATTAATTATAAAAAACAAGCAGCCGGTAGGCTGAGATAGCTCCACTGTTAGTAATGCACATTTCAATTAGAGAACAGAAGATATCATTAGAAAATGAACAATATGTATACCGGTAGTATCAAAGCAATGGGACTTGCTGTTTTCAACAAGAATTCAAAAATATCACTTTTCACCAAAAATAATCAGCAAAATTAGATAATTGAAGATATCACCACGAAATTAACAAATCTGAGAGAGGTCCACATGTAGTACCTATATATGTGATATCAAAGCAATTGGACTTGCGGTTTTTAACAAGAAGTTGAAAATATCACTTTTTACCAAAAATTACAAAAATATTCACCAAAATTAGAGAATTGAAGATATCATTACAAAATGAACAAATCTGAGAGAGGTCCACATGTAGTACCTATATATGTAATATGAAAGCAATTGGACTTGCGGTTTTTAACAAGAAGTTGAAAATATCACTTTTCACCAAAATTGACAAAAATATATTCACCAAAATTAGAGAATTGAAGATATCATCATGAAATGAACAAATCTGAGAGAGGTCTACCCTAGGTACATATACACAAAGTATCAAAGCATTCAGGCTAGTAGTTTTCAAGAAGAAGTCGAACAAGCAGCCTGTCGGCTGAGATAGCTCCGCTGTTAGCAATGCACATGGCAATTAAAGAACAGAAGATATCATGAGAAAATGAACAAATCTGAGAGAGGTATACATGTAGTACCTATATGTATAATATATCAAAGCAATTGGACTTGCGGTTTTCAACAAGAAGTCGAAAATATCACTTTTTACCAAAAATGACAAAAATATTCACCAAAATTAGAGAATTAAAGATATCATTACAAAATGAACAAATCTGAGAGAGGTCCACATGTAGTACCTATATATGTAATATCAAAGCAATTGGACTTGGGTTTTTAACAAGAAGTCGAAAATATCACTTTTTACCAAAAATTACAAAAATATTCACCAAAATTAGAGAATTAAAGATATCATTACAAAATGAACAAATCTGGAGAGAGGTCCACATGTAGTACCTATATATGTAATATCAAAGCAATTGGACTTGCGGTTTTTAACAAGAAGTTGAAAATATCACTTTTTACCAAAAATGACAAAAATATTCACCAAAATTAGAGAATTAAAGATATCATTACAAAATGAACAAATCTGAGAGAGGTCCACATGTAGTACCTATATATGTAATATCAAAGCAATTGGACTTGCGGTTTTTAACAAGAAGTCGAAAATATCACTTTTTACCAAAAAT